CTCCCTTATCAATTTTGTTGTGTTTAATTTTTCACTGTAATATACATTGCATTAGCAACAATGTTATCTGAAAAAAAAGCAGTCATTAAACAGCATTGAAGAATGAATAAGGACTCAAAAACAGTATACTATGCATGCATATGCCTAGTTTACATTAAGCTCTGTTGCCTTAAATTATTTGTCCAGGAGGTTTGAAACCACCTTCTTCTCCCTCTAGACAGACTGTAACAGGGAATCCAATGGTTTTATATTATAGGGAAGTAAAATGTTGTTCATAGTGATGTAATCTATGCCCCTGTTCTTGGTAACCAGCTTATTGTAAATTTTGTTTTTGTTTTATTCTTTACAGGACATAGACTTTGACTTAACAAACATGGTAAATATTCTTGATATTCCTAGTCTGAGTATGCTTCATGTGTGGTGGGATTTGTAGTTCTCCCAAACAGGATCACAGTTCCTTTGACTGATGTTGATCCATATGAACTGAAATACCCCTTGCCTGATGCGAGTGACTTGTACTTATCATTAGAATTTTCTCTCTGCAAATTGTCTTTTATTGTGCCTCAAGACATGATTAAAACGTTTATTTAAACTTGAATAACTCAGTAGTACTGAGTACACCAAGTGTACACATAAGTGATGTTTTTAAAGGTTTTTGACAAATTGATTTTGCTTTCTCGTCACTCCAGGGTGTCCTTCACATTGAATTCCTGGAAGCTAAATAGACTTAATCAAGAAAGACATTGTTATCATATCTAAAGGTTCTTCAGATCCAAATGTCATTCTCAGAGGTATGTATCAAAGCTTATGGAGATTACTGTATGAGCTAAAGACATGAAAGAGCCCTTACTGACCAGCAGTAATATGTATCCAAGTGTCTTTTGGTGCTTGTGTCACTGAAGTTTTTCTACCTCAGTTTCATAGAAGGTGAATCATACTTTGAGTAAGAACTCCTCTGAAAATTCTACATCTCTGTAAACTTTTTTGATCGTTTGTTTTGAATCAAATAGAATCAGCAATCAGCGAAGCATAAATTTATTAATTATTACATCATTTTTTGGATTTCTCATTTGCTTTGCCTCCATGAGGAGATAAATTCACTGGGACAAGATCACTGTTTTAGAACACCAGTGAGTATCTTACTGTATGTGCACCATAGCTCATGATGATATTTCTTTCTGTTGCCAGTGGGAGCCAAGACATTCTGCATAAAGACAAAGGACAACACAGTGAATCCAATATGGAATGAAGCGTTCGAGGTAAAGATTTTGATGGGTTTGTGGTTCCTAGTCCATACTTCATTATGGATATTTCATTTCTGATTGTTTTGTTTCTGATTGTTTATGTGAAGGCCTTTGTGGACAACTCACATGGTCAGAAAATAAAGATTGGTGTCTTTTATGAAGACAAAGCATCTGATGACGAATCTCTTGGAAGGTACAGTAAGTAATCATCCAAACATGAGATAGTAGAAAGCAACTCATATCTCCAGTTTTTACATGTATGTGACTGTTTTGATGTTGACAAAATGATGTATTATCTCCTTAGTGTTGAGGCTGACATTGGTACAATTGTCCAGCAAGGCAATGTTGAATTGGTAAGTTGCAAATCTTTTGCTAACTAAAGAGTTGTATGTCATATTCAATAACCAGTGTTAGGAACCGTGTTTAACACCATGTGATTTGATATAGCATCTAGAGCAATTTTTAATTGATTGTCGAATTAAAGCAACCAGGACTGCACTACCCTTGTGAAATGGATTTTGGAATTCCTAGGAATTCCTTGGAATAAAGGTGTGAATTTTCATGGTAAATTTGGACTGGGAATTCCTAGGAATTTCTAGGAATTCCCAACCACAACAACTCTGGTTCCAAAAAACCTAGAAATTCCTAGAAATTCCAAGTTTATAGCCAACAGGACTTGGAAT